AAGAAAGTGTGAACGTAGTAACCGAACGGACACGACAAATGATTTGGAAGTAAAAAAACAACCAGTATGCTGTGGGGCAATGGCAAATTAGCAGCTTTGAGGGAAGCTCTGTTAGGATAAAAGAAAAACATAATGATGACACGATGGTGGCCATCTTTAGCCTTTTGATGTGCTAATCCTGGCTAGTCATGAAAAAGCTTTGTTTTCTGGAGGTTTGTGAAGAGACAGATGTGGTCTTGACTTTAGATCGGTGGGTGAAGAAAGGACGAAAAACAATAAGGTTTATCGGTTTATAATGTGTTTGTGCTAAGGTCAGATATTTTGTACTATTTCTGAGACATATTCATATTTTTTCAGACTGTTGAGGTCCTGGTAAAGTCAGCAGATTGCCTATAGATTATAGTAAAATAAGTAAAGAAATAAGGAGTGGATTTTTATTTAGTCACATTATAGGAGCATGAAGTTGGCAGTGAAATCCAGCTGCTTTCACTTACAATATCTTTTTTCATAATCTTCTGTAGTGAGAATGTAATGCCATCTCCAAACACAAATGAATGCTTGGATACTGAAAAGAAGACAAAAGCAGGGCTGCTTCAGGGAAAAACTTGAAAACCTGAAAACTTTTCAAAGCCTCATCACTGTTTCATTGTCACACACCCTAACACTGATGTCAGAATCATCTCCAGGCCAGACATTTTTCTTCTTTGCCCACCACCTAGACATCGGTCATTTTCCTCACTGCCCCCAAATCTCTTCCAACAATGACACAGTATGTGCCCGAGTCTCCTGATGACTGCTGAATCTTTAATGGCACTATTACTGCCGGATCCGTCTTTTAACAGCGGCGCTCTTATTTCTCAAGGCTGGGCCAGTTTTAAATAGCTTCATCTCCGGCCATTTTTGGAAAAAGAAAAAAAAATGGGCCCAGATTTTCAATTAGTAGGAGAAATGAATGTTTCCACACTTAAAGCCCAGCAACATATTGCATTCACATGATGGTTATTTATGCCGCTGATGCTCCCATTTGCTTTTATGTCACTTCATTAAGCATGTTCTTTAAATAACGTGGAGTAAATGGGATTTTTAAATTTTTAATGTTTTTCTGATGTTCTTGTTGTGTTGGCTTTGCCATATTTCACCTCAAGCTCCATCGCACTTTCTCCCTTCATCCTTAACCTGCTACCGGTGCCAGACAAATTACTGGTCCTGCCTTAAGATAAGGTGGACAGGTGACAGCATTCATACACTGGCACAAAGGTGCACGCACACACGTGCTGCGAATGCAAACATACAATATGGTGGCAGGATACACAAGATAGTGTTCTCTTGATAATCATTTATAGAGCTCGGTGGCAAGGGACAAAGTGCTGTTATCGCTCGCGAGCAGCGATGTTAGGTGCTAAACAACCCTCCACACCACGCTGCAACGCCATTAGCCTGTGCATCAAGGAGATACAATGTGCACTTTCTGTAGCTGTGCCAAGAGCTTCTTGTCTGCTACTGGGAGGTAATGAGTTCTGTCTATGGAGAAATACTCAAACCAATGCCTGTAATCACAGGAAAAGAAAAGGAATTAACGTGTTGTTGTGCCTCAGTGGATTTGAGGAGTCCTTCAGAGTTGATTTCAAAGTTTTTCTTTCCTGCTCCTTTGAGCAGAAAGTTTCTCTTCAACATTGTGATGTTTCCCATTTCTAATCCCTGCGCCCTGATTGTGCTGTTTGGGCTCACGTGCAGGTAAAAGCAGGTTTAAACGAGAGCAGATGCAGCTCCTCTAATCTCTCCCTGCTCCTTTGTGAGAGATTTATGAACAGAGATGAAGCAGTCAGTCTCCATTGTGGATGCTCAATAATTTATGCCGAGACACTCTCTTATACTTATGGTGAGAGATTGGTAATTGTCTTGCCACACAGTCGTCATGCTTTCAATCATCTCTGTGCTCTGCATTATGTATGATATTAATTCATATACATCTGCATCTTATATTGTAGATTTATGGCGTATGTTTATGAACCATCCATTTAAAGCTTTGCCAGGGAGGATGGTTACCTTGTTTAAAGTGGTTGAGTAGGCAGGAAGTACCGTGGGAAAACTCTCTGCTTGTTTTCTTTCTCTTTACACTCCGGGGCACGTTTCTGAAGTTTTGGTGGTAATCTTAGTAAAGATATTCTGCTAAATTAAGAAAATGTCAAGAAATGGTTTTGATCTCACGAAAAGGTGAAATACAAAGTACACAGCCACCTTTATTCAGCTGATGATGGACAGCTGAGAAGATAAAATCTACTATCTGGTTATCCCATTAAAGATTTAATCACTTTGCAAATATAAATTGTGCAAAAGTCTCGTGGCACCCCTCATTTCTTTGTATTTTGCTAGAAAACTGCAAAAGGCTCAATAATGTTTTGATACATTTGCAAATAGAAAAGGAAATACAGCATATAAGATAAACACAAAGTTTGTATCGTTCTAAAGAGCTTCAGAGTCAATATTTGGTGTGACCACCTTTATTTTTCTCACATCCTGAACTCTCTTAAAAAGCTTTTTTGTAGTTTCTTGAAATTTGTCTTCGGGAACAGTTCTCCAGGCTTCTTGAAGGACATTCAAAACTCTTCTTTGGATGTTTGCTGCCTTTTGTTCTGTTCTCTTGTCGATGTTGATCATACACTGCATCAGTGCTGTTTGCATCTGGACTGTTTCACCTCTCTCCCTGACCTCCTCCGTACATAATAATGACAAGTTGAACCAAACTTTTCAAATTTCAGTCTAATTCTTGTGTAATTTGGCATAAAAGCCCTTTCTCCCCGTTTCTCTTCCTTAAGAAAGCCTTCTTGACAGGCACTCTTCCACTGAGACCGTTTCCGATAACGCTTCAGTGAACAGTAGATGGATTAACTTATGGGTCAGATGTATCTCTCAGGTCCTTTTTTAGGTATTTGCTGGAGTTCTTTTTCTTATTTTTAAAGGGCATGACTTTCAGATAGTGTTCATCTGCTATAGATTGTTTTTTTAGGGCTACCACATTTTCCTTTGTCCTCCACATGTCTAGTTTCACTGCATGCCATATTGAGATATGCCAAGTTATTGGAAATCACTTTAGTGCTGCAAAAACGCTCATTACGCCTGTCAAATTGTGTTATCTTTGGCATTTTGTTGGCATGTTTGACATACAATTCAAACCAACTCTTTGCAAAGTTGTCTGTCATGTGTAGACACAACACTAGTGTTTCCCTACAATTAGGTGCATTTTTATGATTAAATTATTTATAGCATGTTGACATTTGCTAGCACAAGAGACAAAATATAGCCTAATCTTATAAACTGCATTCATAATAATTTTGCTAAAATGTTATCATGCCTACGAGTTGGACACTCAGAATTCACCTCATCAGCTTTTTTCTTACAGTAGCTGTGTGCATGATTATGTCTGTGAGCATTTCAGTGTGTTTACTTACTAGACAGAAGCTAAGAGAGCCATAAAGAATTTAATAGCCATCTAAACAACCTACATTTGGCTGGTTGCTCATGAACCAGTTAAGTGTGCAAAATCAGCTTCTTTTGGACTCTAGTGAGACTCCACCAGGCACCACAGCACTCACTGCTCAATACATGACCCGACTGTTCCTATAAATTATGGACTCTGTGACTATAATTGACCTTTTTTTTAAATAAAAAAAGAACAGTTTAGTGTAAATTTCAGTTTCTTTAAGTGTGTGTTTGAGAATGGATGTTTGCTTGATTCTGTATATGTTCTCCCTGTGGAGCAGCAGCATGATGTGCTGTGTCGAGCAGTCGAGCGTTCCTAATTATAGGCGGCTGTTATGTGATGTGTTTGGGGGTATAGCTGCGTCGGAGGTGTGATGTTTATCTCTACCTCCAGGAATAGCTGTGACATCCTTTTTCAACTGATCAAAACCTCTGAATAATGCTGCTGTTGCTGCTGTAAGTTTTATCACAGTGTGCTTATATTGCCATTCAAATATCGTGCCTGCATATGTTTCAATAAATACTTGAATTCTACCAAACCTCTGGTCCAGGTTTGCCCTGTTTTGCAAGACTGAGCTTTATAGAGTGGAACATGTCACAGGGTGCCAGTTTATGTCAATGTAAGAACTACACATCTACACATGTGATGATTCATGATCGTGGACTTGGATTAGACTGACCTCAGGTCATTTTCCAGCATCAGTCCTTCCAACAGGTATTAGATGGCATTTGTGTTTGGCTGGTTGTCAAATAATAATAATGATAATAACAATAATAATGTGTTTACTACTACTACTTGTTATGTTGCCCTCAAGTTGCAAAGTGAAGCTTTAACTTATTCATGCTGCCACTTTTAGACTGGTTTTGATTACTGTCCCTTCTAGTACTATAATTATAGTAGTGCTGGAGGCACGCCTCCTTTCTTTACTCTTTGCTTCCAAGAAGCCAGACTCAAAATTTCACTAATTTGGCTGAGGTATGACAACGCCTGGACTGAATATCAGCGGCAAATTTAAATGCTTGGTTCAAATGGTTGTCGCTATGTGCAGAGTACGACACTGAGTATCTACAGCCATCTGTAAAACAGACAGGAAGCTCTGTCATGGTTTGGGACTGCATTCAGCCCGTGATGTTGTAGATCTTGTCAAAATTGATAGAATTATGAATGCAGAAAAATACCATCAGACTTGCATGCTACTCCACCATGCAGTACCATCTGGTGTCCAATTGGCAATGGCTTCATTTTGCAGTATGACAATGAGCCCAAACACACTGCCAATGCAGTAAAAGCATACCTTGATACAAAAACACACAGTGGAACACTATTGGTCACAGACTGTCCTCCCAAGACCTACATTATTGAAGCAGTGTGAGATCATGTTGGTAGAACAAAAGAAGGGAATAGAACAAAAGGCAGCCAACATATTTTCTTTCAAACTGTGTTACTCTATTTTTTGTGTTAATGCTGGCTGTTGTAGAAAATCTATTTCATTGAAATCCTCCATCTGGCCTCCCCACAGATTGAAGACATTGTTACACGAATCCAAGATGAGAAAGCAGGAGGTGTAGCCATACGGACTGTCAAAAGCTTCCTCTCCAAGATCCCAAGTGTGGTATCAGGTTAGTATTTGTGTGCAAAGGTGTGTGTGTGTGTGTGTGTGTGTGTGTGTGTGTGTGTGTGTGTGTGTGTGTGTGTGTGTGTGTGTGTGTGTGTGTGTGTGTGCACGCACCTGTTTAGACATCTTTGTGGGGACCAACAGTCACTTATGAGGACAAAGGTGCCTGTCCTCATGAGTTTAAAGGCATTTTTGAGACTCAAAATGTGGTTTTAGTGTCAGGGTTATAATTAGGTTATGGTTAGGTTTAGGATAAGGGTCAGGGTTAGGCACTCATTTTTGATGGTTAGAGTTAGGGTAAGCGGCTAGGGAAAGCATTATGTCAATTAGATGTCCTCACTAAGATATTAAAACGAGAATGTGTGTGTGTATGTGTGTGATCCCCATTGCTAATCAGCACAAACTTGTCCCAAGTGATTTATTCTATGATCAAACATAACTATCCATCCCAACTCAGACGACAATGTCCACCACCACAAGGCACAATGGTTTGGTGTGTGAGTCACTTTGTCAGATACCAGATGGGACACCATATTGGGGAGTTGGGAGATTTTTGGATCAACCTTTTAGTCAGTACTCTATCACCACCATTAGTGTGACACAACATGAGGGAAGAATACCGTACCATCCTTTCTGAAGAAAGAGGCTCGTAGAGTCGATCCTAAGGTACGATAAAGCTGTTATTGGTGGCACATGGTGGACCAGCATCTTATTAAGACACTTTATGTTGGCTTTTCCTCTAAATTGTCCCCCCATCTATACAAAATCATAAATCAGCAACTGGGGAAAAAAAAAAACAAGTAAACGCTTGTTAGTGCAGTCTAACTGGAAGCTGTGTTTGCACACTTTGGCTGCTGTTGACTGATTTCAGATTGTTCAGCTCAAACACAATCAGTGACTAAAAACAGAACATAGGAAAAGGTGGGCTTAGGGATTAGGGTTGGGGCATTTCAAGCAAAAGCACTCCTCCCTATCCACTTGGAAAAATTCGACTAATCTTCCAAGATTGCCCCCAGATGACTTTGCACAGACTTGTATATTTGCCAACTTTACCTATGCTGGGCCTCATTTAGCGGACTTTGGCTTTGCTTTTTTAGAAGAGCATTAGATGCTACCATAGATTTAAGATATAAGAACAGTTGCATAAAATATTTGATATTTTTGTAATTGCAGTATTCACAAATGTCAAACATCCCTTGCAGGAACACAATGCAGACTCGCGCCCTCTCCTCTTGCGTTTTGCACATGAAGGCAGGTGTCAGAGTGAGTTTCTGTGGTCAGGGTGGAAGCAAAGTGTGCCTGCCACTCTGAAATGTCACCTTTTTGGTTAAGTAAGATAATACAGGTTAAATGGATCTGTTTTTTTCAGCGGCTGTTTATCTGTGTGTGAGGCAGTCAGTGAAGAAAGCACGACCTTTTGGGCTCATTTAAATTGCAGCTACTACTGTTAGAGGCAGATGATGTCTTTGCCAATAAGACCTTGGCCATTGAGGAAACTGCCCGTGGTGCCGTGCTGCCCTTGTAACTATCACAGAAAAGCTCCTCTCTTCTTTCTCTCTGTCTCCACAAACTGTACTCATTTACGTTTGTACTCCTGTGTGCCCGTGTATGAAGTGAGTCACCCCTCACGGACGAGGGGGTTGCTCCCTGTCCCGAGGCTGTTTCTGAGTCACTCCTTCACATGGCTCCCCCAGGACCGACAGCCTCGCGGTTTCTCTCTCCAGCCTCTGCTATGTGTAAGACGGGGCCAAAAAACGAGCCGTCCAGGAGCGAAAAGAGAACGAACCGCACCCTGATTACTTAACGTTATATTTACACACCTATTCAGCTTTGACCCACAGCTTCAAAGGGACGTGAATCACAAAGCTTATTTGTGTTTTCCACATTGCGGCTTTTGTTGAAACTGTTGCAGAGCTGGAATTGTGACGCCTCTTCTAACCCGTGTCCTTCTGTGAATAACAGGGGCGGACATTGTTCAGTGGCTGATGAAAAACCTCTCCATAGAAGATCCAGGTAAATGTCAGTACATGTAAGCACAGCAAAGCTTCCAATCGAAGACGACGGCAGCTTCACGTGTCTGCTTTCTTTCATGTCACCAGCTGAAGCCATCCATCTGGGCAGTTTGATCGCTGCCCATGGATACGTCTTCCCCATCTCTGACCACGTTCTGACACTTAAAGATGACGGAACCCTTTATCGCTTCCAGGTACGAAAAAAAAATCCACCTTGGGACTGTCCTTGATATGTGTTAGAAGGCCTTTAAATATAGAATAATGAGCTGATGGCAGTTTATCAGAGGGATGTGTTTATTGCGTGATACTAATGAGAGCAATCCCTCCTAAGCCTATTACTCATCCCACCAAGGTCGATACTGTGTACCCCTGCTGGATGCTTCATCAGAGCAGGAGGTGGCCTGTAGAACTGGGCCGATGGGTCAGTAATGCAGCTTGTCAGTCTGGTGGTTTTGTTTTTTTTTTTTTCCTTTGCTCCTTCTTCTTCTTATACAGCACGAACACTGACAGATCTGTCTGATGGCTACAGACTCTGCTATGACTCATTACTGTGACTGGGCCATTAGCATCTTAATCCAGCAAGCAGGCTACGCCAGGCAAGCTCCCCTATGGGAAGCGCTGAGCTGGCTACACGCTGGCTCTGCACTTTTTGCTGTTGCCAACCGTCCCTCGGCCCCTCCTCAGTCTACCGCTGGATGCATTTATCTTCACCTATTGTTCAAGATTAAAAGCCATTATTGCGGCTGTGCAGCGAGGGCAGCGAATGCCGCGCTTCCTTATTCAGCAGAGGCTAAAAATATTCCCTCTGATGTTGTCGTGATGCAACAGGCTCGCGTCATCGGAACCTCTGAAAAGAGTCCACAGTGGATTTGAAATGCGCTGGCCAGCCTACATTGCAAGAAATAGTGTCAGGGGGAATTTTGAATTGCTAGTCTACAAAAAAAAAGAAATTTTAAATATGTGCTACACCAGGAGAAGACCCAGATTTGATTATGTGCCTTCTGCTGTTTGTCACAAATTCACAGTTTTGTGCACAGAGTGGTGACTTTCTTTTGATTTGTCATAATTTCTTCCTCTCTGAATCCAAATGACACCGCTGAATGAGAGCACGTTAACTTTTCTGTTCATTACATTCAAACCAGCACACTCATCAGTGCCGGGCCTTTGCTCCCGAGCTAATTGCTTTTATGACAAATAGTGCGAATGAAAAATGTCCATGATAAGTTCTAATTTTGCCCTGTTATTAAGAGCGTATGATAGATGTGAATGATCCATTAATAATGGACTTGAGAATGAACTTTGAATGCATAATATCACTTGTAGTAGACTTTAAGATAGAGAGACTGCAGCTACCATTGCCATTGCAGATCATTACCTGGAGCGCGCAGAGGTCAAAGGTCACAATCAAACAAAGAGTACTCATCCATAAAAGGGGCAGGGGTGGTGGAAGTATTTGCTGTTTTTTTACTTGATGATAAAAAAAATTGATTATTTGTGTAAATAAGCAAAATCTTTTTTTTATTTATTCTTCCTGCTTTCATCAGTCTCCATACTTCTGGCCTTCAAACTGTTGGGAACCCGAGAACACAGACTATGGTGAGTCACACGCTATTCCCTGTTTCTCCATCAGTGAGATCTCCCTAATGCCTTCAGCTGTCTCATTTTCTCCACAACTGACATCTGTAGCTCTGTGGCTGACACTCACTGAGTATTGATCCATTCCCTGTAATGTATCTGGCCCCCGAGGAACCCCACCCCCGCACCCACCACCACCCCCTTCCCTCCTAACACCACCAGGGAGAATCCTGTGGGATACAATTAGCTTAACAAAATAAAGGGACAGTCACTGCTTTGACAGCATCTCTGGCTATCTGCATGGCATTTACTCGAGGTTTGGTATTTCAAAAGAGAACACATGGCCTGCCTGGCTGCTCTGGCAGGATGTGCATTAGTTCACACAGCTGCGGCCTTGGTTTAAAAAAAAAAAAGCAAACAAAGAAATCCCACCATGCATTGCAAGTATTCTTTTTGTTGTTGTTTTATTGTAGTTATGACAGTGCTTATTCCCCTCTCTATGTTTCACTCTTTGTCTTTGTCACCCTGCAGCCATTTACCTGTGCAAGCGCACGATGCAGAATAAAGCCAGGCTTGAGCTCGCTGACTACGAGGCTGTAAGTAAACTGTCGTTTTGGTTTAGCGATCGCCAGAAAGCTCCTAATTCAATTCCATCATAGTGCATGAACCATAGTATGATGATGCTCTCGATTTCCTGTTTTCCTTCACTTTGTTGAAAAACCAAAAACGTGCTGAAGCAGTCTCTTCTGGGCTTTTAAAATAACAAAATGTATTTACAAGAGGATAAGAAAAGGAAAACAAACAAACAACAAAAAAGAAGAACAACAACATCAAATTCTGAAAGGTAGATTTCTTTTCCAGGAACACCACTTTGAGGAATACAATGCAGTCATTTACCGGCCCCCAAATGTAAATAAAAATATCTTTAGGTATACCTGCATCAGCAGATCGATACAGTCTCAGGAGGGGCATTGCTGCAGTGCTGATCTCGTTGTTACACAATAGCAATCCGCTACACTTTAATATTCTAAATGACTCTGCAACTATTGTCCAGTGGACTTCCTTTCACTCCTATTCAGGTCACTTTATGCCTTCAGGCCTCATTGCTTTCACTGATAACATGCCTGCTTCTGTAGTTTTTTTTCCCCTCTGATTTTGTAACAAGCTCACATACTGTATTAATGCTTGAATAGCTTTTTGGAACCCAATGTTCACTCACAGGCACCAAAAAATGCAATTTCTACAGGTAAATACTGTTTATGATCATTGTTATAGTAATAAATAAACCTGAGAGATAAACAATCCACAAAAAGCACATTATCACCTCTCTTATTACCACAGGATACCTTGATTGGTTAGGACTGTAAACCCTTAACTCTAATGTTATGTTTTAGAACCAAGCAACTTAAATTTGTTTCATAAAATGTTAAAAATTATTGATGCAAGTTAATTCCCGTGTATGTCAGGTCTTGAGAAAGCATCTACTGTGCCTAATTATAAAGCGCATCTAACTTTCCCACAGTTATCCCTGTGGGGAATGCGTTTAATCATTGCAGTTTACTGGAGATGAAATCAATGATGTATACTGAAACAATATACCTGTGTGAAACTCACACTACATGTGGTATCGGCATCTTGTCATAAAAGTGAAGGCATCAGAGTGAAAAATCCAAGGGCCTTGAAATCAAAGTCAAGCCCTTGAAGATAAACTCCTTAAGTCTTCCTCTTACACCGTGTCTGATTGGCTCCTCCAGGAGAACCTCGCCAGGCTGCAGAGGGCTTTCGCCAGGAAGTGGGAATTTATCTTCATGCAAGCTGAGGCTCAAGTCAAGTGAGTATATCAGTTAATTTTCTAACTTCAGCACTAATGTGACAGGACAGATGTTGATACAATCAGGTTTAGAGAATGCTGAGCTTTGGCTGCCTGCACAGTGTTTGTGTTCTTTGTAAGCCTGACACCTGGTGGCTGAAATGTGCAAGTGCAGCGATAGTCCTGCAGTTAATGGCATACAGTAGCTGTCCTTTCTTGTCTTTTAAAATAGAAAATCAAAGTCTTGGCATCATTTAGTTGTTGCTGCTCTGTGGCTGTAAACGTGAGGATATAAAAAAAAGTCTTCTTATGTCTGGAGAGTAACGACAACAAGCAAATGCCAGCTGGTAAATGTCAGTTATGTAAGAGCTAGGTCCCACCAGGCCTCTCTTGGTGAACTGAGCAGACAGGTTAAGACCTACACTCCTGAGTTTCTTTGCTCTTTTGTCTGGCCTGTCTGTTTTTTTAACGTATGCCGGCAGCAGAGAGCAAGTATGGACCTTAGAGGGTTAATATTTCAGAGCCGTGAGCGTTTTATTTTAAAGACCTGTATCCTCTGCTCTCAGGATTGACAGGAAGAAGGACAAGGCGGAGAGGAAGATCCTTGACAGCCAGGAGAGGGCATTTTGGGACGTTCATCGGCCAGTGGTGAGTAACAGCCAAAATAAGGAAAAGAAAAAGTGCAGAAAGGAAAAAGAGAGTCACATGGTTCAACTAAAAAATGGAAATGAACTCAACAAAAGAACAGAAAAGAAGGGATGTTTTGTAGGTAGACAGTTTTAGCATTTAAACACTGAAAAGAGCAGATTTAGCTCCACATACTGTCCAGCAGATAGCCGTGTTGTGTTGTTGGTAGCACAATCAGATTTGGTGCCAGTCAATTTGCATAAGAGTCTTTTGTGAGTGTGGCGTTGCTCAATAGAGCACCAGCACCGTATTGTGTGAGCAGCACAAGTGTAGACAATACATGATGGAGAAACAGTCTTATCTGACCCAGAAACATGCTTTGTCTGCTGCTGCCTCCCACAGCCAGGCTGTGTCAACACCACAGAGATGGACATCCGCAAGTGCCGGAGAGAGAAGAACCCACACAGGGTAAAAAAGGTGAGAGGAAGAGACAAGCTGCCACCAACCACGTTCATTTTTAAATGTAATGTTTTTTAATAACTCTGCTGCTTAGTCATATATATATATATATATAATATATATATATATATATTATATATATATATATAATATATATATAATATATATATATTATATATATTATATATATATATATATATATATATATATATATATATATATATATATATATATATATATTAGGGGTGCAACGATACACAAGATTCACGGTTCGGTTCGATACTTTGGTGTCACGGTTCGATATTTTTTCGATACAAATAAATGTTCATGCCTTTTTAATTTGTCATTTATTAAAATTATAAATATATATTTTAACTCAAAAGTACAGTTTTTAAATTTAATGTTGCTGAAACAAAAGTAATTAAAAAAATAAATATATCTCAGGGCTCGCAAAATTTCAAAATCCCTGGTAGCCCTTCGGGCAGGGACTCTTCAGTTTTTGGTAGCCCAAAATAAATGTAAGTAGCCCGAATAAAAAAGAGAGCAATTTTTTGATTGATGTTTTGTTTCCTTTACAATATTATACATTAAAGTATAATATTGTAAAGGAAACAAAACATTAATCAAAAAATTGTTGAAAAACAAATTACAACATTGTATAAAAATTACAATCATCAACTCAAATACTTGGTTCTAATTGAACAGAAATTTCTATGAACTTGTAAGAACTGTGTAGGACATGAATCCGTCTGTGTCAGATCCTGAATTTGAAATTTCCACTGAAGTCACGGGTAAGAGACAAGTGGAACCAAGATCGAGGCCGTTTGCTTTTTGAAGTTTGCAAAGACTGCTAAATTTTGCCAGTGGTAGTTCACTCTTTGCAACATAGTAGCTGTTCTAAACAGATTTTTCAGGTTTATTTTTAGTATGTTATTTACAATTGGTGTTTGTTCTGGGAAAGATATTGCAGACTGAGCAATAATGCATTTCTTGCATTTCTCATGGCTTCTAATGGGGGGCTTTCTTAAAATGACTGGTCCCAGTAACAAAGGCGCTTGTCGACTCAGAAATCGAGAGAAAACCAACAACACACCCGGCAGAACATTATGTTATTTACACGGGTGCACATAAGTGGTCCGCATGTGCGCATTCGCTGTCAAAATAAAAGACGCACCAGATAAGAAGTTGCAACGCGCGTTTGCGTCCATATAAAAAGCACTGTTTTTGTCTGCTAGAGTGGGATTTTCACGGCACATTCCACACCACATCTCTGTGCGTTCATTATTTGTTTGAAGCCAGCTCACCTCCTGCAACCACTTTTCCGAGAATATGCTCTTCTTTTGTGGTTCGGACTCCTTCTGACATTTCTTTGGAGGTGGAGGAACACCAAAGTAATTGGTTAAAGGAGCTTCTTCGACATCTTTAAGAGTTCTAAACTTTAAGAGTCTGTCCTCCTCCAGAAAATCTTATGTATGCAAACACGCGTTGCGCGTTTTTGTTTTGTTTTTTTTGACAGCGAATGCGCACCTGCGGACCACTTATGTGCAGCCCCGGTTATATAGCTCGTCATATTGCAGCCACAGAAATTCTTTTGTCCATGAAACCATAAAGCTGCACTTTCTTTTTGCCTCATAGTCTGATTTGTCATAACTTTTCCGTTTTGTGGTAAGCTTTTCTTTGGCTGTCACTTCTTTACCCTGACCTGTCAGCAGAACTAAAATATATATCCTGCTGCTTTTACACGCGCACTCACATAACGCTCAGCGATTCTCTGCGCGATCAACCTCTCACATGTTTAAGCTGCGGGAGATTTCACTTGTCATGTTTGCATAGTAAGCTAACGATTGATAAGACGATGTCAGAGGAATTGGTGCACAAATTATCATCACTCACCAATCAGTGCTGTCGCTCTCTATACACAGTTCATGCGATTGCAAAGTGAAAGCAAAAAACAAGCGCAAATTCAAAGGCGACTTCAATATCAGAATCAGAATCAGAATACTTTATTGATCCCTGGGGGAAATTATTTATGTCACATATTGACAGTGGCTCACCCAATGACATAATTACCCAGCTACATTTCTGAAAGAATGCAAAAGCATTGACATATATTTTTCCTTCCTACAATAGCCCCACGGGCAGGGAAGAGATAGATTTTGGTAGCCCGACTGGAAAAATCGCTAGCTCCGGGATGTCGGGCTAGCAATTTTGCGAGCCCTGTATCTGATTGAGGAATCACTCATCTTTGGAAAAGAGAGTTTATTACAGAGAAATGTCTCTTTCCAAAATAAAAGCTATACTATCCGCTTCTCCTGGGCTATATTCTCAGCAGGATATTGTAGCGGGTCAGGGCTGTTCTGGGTTCTGTTTGTACAGTTATGTTTTGTTTATGTTGCCATAGTGACGGGTGACCCCTTTCGCCGGACGGTGTGTCCTTCCGGGGTCAGAGGGCGCCCTGTGTGGTGTTGTTGTTGTTGTTGTTGCTGTTGTTGCTGCTGCTGCTGTGCGGTTGCTGTGCTGAACAGTTAGCTAGCGGCAGTGTTCTTCTGTAGATGTCAATAAACAGCTGTGCTCCCTGGCTAGCTCACGGGAAGCAAGACCAAACGACACCTCCGTCTCCTCCTTGTTTGAGAATCATGTGCTAACGGCTGTCTAAATGACTCGGGTAAAGTTTGTAGCATGCATGCTTGTTGTTTTTGTCTGCTTCCACTTGTCTTTGCACTAGGATGATGTCGGAGTAAATGTGCAGTCATATTCTTGTGTTCCCACTAGTGCTGTCAGCGTTAATCTCGTTGAAATGACGTTAACGCCACAACACGGCAAATCTCCGTTAATGAGCTAACTGGCTAACACACTAGTTCCCACCCATGTAATTGAGCATTGCGTGGCACATCCAACATACTGTTTTACTTTAGTCCATGACACGCTTACCTTCAGGGTCATGTATCTGATTGAGGAATCACTCATCTTTGGAAAAGAGAGTTTATTACAGAGAAATGGCTCTTTCCAAAATAAAAGCAATACTATACGCTTCTCCTGGGCTATTCTCAGCAGCATAATGTAGCGGGTCAGGGCTGTTCTGGGTTCTGTTTGTACAGTTATGTTTTGTTTATGTTGCCATAGTGACGGGTGACCCCTTTCGCCGGACGGTGTGTCCTTCCGGGGTCAGAGGGCGCCCTGTGTGGTGTTGTTGTTGTTGCTGCTGCTGTGCGGTTGCTGTGCTGAACAGTTAGCTAGCGGCAGTGTTCTTCTGTAGATGTCAATAAACAGCTGTGCTCCCTGGCTAGCTCACGGGAAGCAAGACCAAACGACACCTCCGTCTCCTCCTTGTTTGAGAATCATGTGCTAACGGCTGTCTAAATGACTCGGGTAAAGTTTGTAGCATGCATGCTTGTTGTTTTTGTCTGCTTCCACTTGTCTTTGCACTAGGATGATGTCGGAGTAAATGTGCAGTCATATTCTTGTGTTCCCACTAGTGCTGTCAGCGTTAATGTCGTTGAAATGACGTTAACGCCACAACACGGCAAATCTCCGTTAATGAGCTAACTGGCTAACACACTAGTTCCCACCCATGTAATTGAGGATTACGTGGCACATCCAACATACTGTTTTACTTTAGTCCATGACACGCTTACCTTCAGGGTCATGTATCTGATTGAGGAATCACTCATCTTTGGAAAAGAGAGTTTATTACAGAGAAATGGCTCTTTCCAAAATAAAAGCTATACTATACGCTTCTCCTGGGCTATATTCTCAGCAGCATAATGTAGCGGGTCAGGGCTGTTCTGGGTTCTGTTTGTACAGTTATGTTTTGTTTATGTTGCCATAGTGACGGGTGACCCCTCTCGCTACATCACATGAAAACCAAAATAATTCCAAACGCCAGATCTGAATGAGGGTGGGGGAGGTTTAATTTGCCATGTTGCAAGGAGAGCTTAACTTCTGTCTTGCTAGCTTGCCCTGCGCTCTTCCTTCTGACGATGCTGTCTGTGTTGAACGCTCAGTGGATCTGCGCTCGACAGTGCAGCCTAGGCGGAGTAGTCGAACACAGATTCACTGAGCGCTCAACACAGACAGCATCGTCAGAAGGAAAGGTGATAAAATAAATTACAAATGTTGTATTGTTCGATACATATGCGTACCGAACCGAAAGCACTGTATCGAACGGTTCAATATCGATACGAGTATCGTTGCACCCCTAATATATATATATATATTTTGCTTGTTTGGAATATTATAAACATGAGAATCAGTTGCTTGGAGTATCATCTTTTGTGTGTTCAAAAAAACAAACAAAAACCTATCGGCTGATCAGATTTTTAATTCAACACATATCGTTATCAGCATCGGTCTCCTAATAAAAAAACTTCTAATAAAAAATTAATGGCATTTTTATTATTTCTATTAAAATTAATCTAAAAATATTTCCTTTTCGGTTTTGTTTCAAAGCTTACTAAGTGGTCTTTGTGTGCAGCTGTGAAAATGTCCTCTTCGACACTTTAGATCCCTTATTCCCTGACACAATACTGAGTCCTGCTCCCAAAACAATCACCAGACATACATCAAAATGGGGTTAACAACATGGCAGCGGTAACAAATTGAAACCGTGTCCCACGTGTGTCTCCACTCGCCCGCTCTAGTCGGTCTATGGAGTACCAGATGATGGCCAGAGCCAACCGAGTCCTGTCCACATCGGCTCCCAGCCGACCAGGAAGACCACCAAAGACGATGTTCAGAAGGAGGTGAGCCAGGGCGTTGTTACCGTCAGCCTGCCTCACTCATCCATCATAACATAGCCGCGGTTGGGGACGTAGACCGATGAGCCGTTCCCTTATTTAACCTCCTCATTACTCCTCCTCCCTCTCCCACAGATTACCTTCTTGAACATCCAGCTGGAGAGACACTGTATGAAAGTTTCCAAAGTGGCCGACAGTCTCATGACCTACACCGAGCAGTTCATGGAATATGACCCCTTTGTGTCAGCCGTAGAGCCTTCGAACCCATGGATCAGTGACGACACTACCTTCTGGGACTTGGAGGCAAGGTGAGGCTTGAAACGGGGAAAGCATGTTGGGATGTGACCTGAGAGTGTGCCAGGAACTAATGATGCTTTAAACCCACACTAAGGTCAGGTGGAGTGTAGAGGTCTCAGTGCTAATGAACTGTTGCTATCCTGAATTAGCTGGGATCTGTCTGTTTGGATCTCATCTCACATGAACACTAACACTGGCATTCCCAAAGGTTCACTCTGTCCTGACTTGCTGGTCGTGACTCTCTGTAGGCCAAGTGACCAGACCTTCTATTCTATTCTATCCCATCTTATTCTGTTTTTTTCGGATGTGTTTCAATGTGAGCAGTCGCGAACCCACCCAGCAGCGTGTGAAGAAATGGGGCTTCTCCCTGGAGGAGGCGCTAAAGGACCCAGCAGGTCGAGACCAGTTCCTAAAGTTCCTGGAATCAGAATTCAGCTCAGAAAACCTGCGGTAAGAATCTCTATTATTTGACTTCTGTAAAGGTTTATGTTTTTTTGCAGTCTGGTATGTTGCAGTAGCATGATGCTGCTGCTATAAAATGCAGAGCTATGCTTTTTAGTGGCTAAAGAAAACAAGGCATGTGTGATAAGAGTGAAAGAAGTCATAAAAAATGTAAAATTGACACTGTAAACACATTTTCTGGAAGTTGTTATTGACTGTGTATGGCACTGTTGTAGGTTCTGGTTAGCAGTGCAGGATTTTAAGCGACGGCCACTCCATGAAGTTCCCTCCAGGGCGCAGGAGATCTGGCAGGAGTTTCTGGCTGAAGGAGCTCCAAGCTCCATCAACTTGGACTCTCACAGCTACGAGCGCACCAGCCAGAACCTCAAAGACCCCGGACGATACAGCTACGAGGACGCTCAGGTGGGGGGGGGACAGATGGACTCACGTGGCTTTACGTGCTCACTTTTGATTTATATTGGCGCTCTTCTTTGCCCAGATCTATTTTGAGTTCACCTCAAATTTACTTTACACTGCATCCCCAGTGACAACGCACAAACTCGTTTGCTTTCCCTCTAATTGGCTAAACTCTCCATACTCATGTTACACAACGGAATGAATGAGGGCAAGGATGAATAAAAAGAAAGAGGAGAAGGGAGGAATGACAGAGTGTGTTTGTGTGGGGAGCTAATGAGCCGACTAATTCCATGAATAGGTGGTTGAGTCGGTTCACAGTAGATTCCTCTGCATTCAAAGTGCGTCGGTGATGTGTGACGTGCAACGCCTCTCACTGGCAGGACATTACTCAGCTCTGTCTTGCAGGACTTTGTTGCTCATGTCAGTACTCTCGGTTTGCATCACCTCTTGCATGCATTGCATTACCATAATCAGGCCTCTCTTTATTTTATTTTATTTTCTTTACCACACTTTCTCCTTTATCACTCACAGACCAACGCGCGCTTATGTGGCCTTCTTTATCTTGCAGGAGCACATATTCAAGTTAATGAAAAGTGACAGCTATGCACGCTTTTTGCGATCCAACATCTACCAAGACCTCCTGTTGGCCAGAAAGAAGGTGAGCTGCACTCGCTGACCATGATTTCGGCTCCACATTTAACATGATGCAATCACTCTTTTTGCGTTCCTCATATTGGTTTGATTTTATTCTATCATTTAATAAACATGCCAGGTTTATAATCACTTTATGTATATCAATCAAAAAGTAGATATTTTATCTATACTATATGCTGCAAGGTAAATGGAATGTAAATTACTACGTTTACATTTCAGGTTTTCTGCTTCATTTTATATTAATAAAAACACACAATCATCTTTAAATAATGATACAATGTCATGTTATGCAACATTAGTGCTAACTACAAATCATTGGTCCTTATTGGTATTATATCTGTATATTGATACACTACACTGTCAAGGTTTGAAATATAATAAAAATGTCATCTGGCCTTTACCAGGTTTTAGAATTAGACAATACAACTTCAGATAATTAACAACACATGAAATATTACACTGTGCCATTATTTTTTTAACAAAATTAAGCCAAAATGTTGAAGCAGTGAGTGAAAAACTAAGCGAACGCTTTCTGCTTCCATCGGAATTTAGAGGGTAAGTAGCAGCCAGGTCCTGCCAATCAAATATACTCGACTAACTCACCAATCTGCAAGTGTTTTGTCAGTTTCCAGGTCTGGGATGTTAAAGAATGTATTAACGCAATGCCAAGGAAGAAAGGCATGAACAGCGACCTTAGAGAAACAATTCATCAATCTGGGAAGGGCTGTAAGGTCATTTCCTTCATCATAATACAGCGAGGAAGATTATTCACACGATGAAAGCATTCGTGACAGCTGGGAATCTTCCCAGGAGTAGATTCACATTTGCAATGCTCTGAGAAATCTCAAAAAACAAAGAAACAAAAAACATGCTCATATCTAAATGTTCAGGTTCATGGCATACAATCAGAATGAGACTGAACAAGTACGGCTTGTTTCAAAGATTTGCCAGGAGAAAGCCTATTCTCTTTAAAAAGATCATGGCAGCGTGGCATAAGTTTGCAAAGTTGCATCTGAACAAATTGCAAAACGTCCGGAACAATTTCCTTTTTACAGAAAAGGCCGAAGTGGAGATTTATGCCCCTAACGCTCAGCACCGTGCTTGGCCAAGCCAAACACACCACATCAGCACAAACAGCTCATACCAACTGTCAGGCACGGTGGTGGAGGGATGATGTAAGCTTGTTCTGCAGCAACAAGACTTCGAGTCGACCATAAACTCCTTCGTATATCAGAGTATTCTGGAGACAAATGTTCATTTTTGTAAATGAAATAATGACACAGTGTAATATTTCATGTGTAACTGTTCGTCTGGTGTATATTTAATCATTTTACAACCTGTCAAGGACCAGCTGATAATTTTTATTATGCCCTCATATGTAAAACTTTAGAATTGAGGGTGTACTTCGTTTTTTCACATGACTTTAGGTAACGAAGTCTTTGTGGTATTGTTGGATGTAATGATCTTCTTCCACCACTAGTCAGTAGTGTTGGGTGATATTGCACTTTTAAACGTGATGTTTTGTTACTGTAGTTTCTATTAAAAATGTTACTTGATAGGGTTCTTTTATGCTTCCACACAAAACCTCTGAAAAACTTATAATCAGGCAGAATTTACATTATAATGTTCTTCTTGTCCTTTTCACCCATAAAATGACAAAAAAATTTAAATACTTCCTCAATGTAAATGCTGTCCTTTCTGCTATCTTGCTAGCACATGCACACGTATACTAGTCCAGTATGCAGCTCCCTTCCAAAAGCACTAGGAGAAAAACAAAAGGAAATATGCATTTTCTTTTTTTTTATTGTTTTGCAGTAACAAAAAAATTGCAAAAGATTCAGACTGTTTTAAAAAAAGAAGAAGAAGAATATATGCATGGGAAACAAACATATTCAAACAAGCAACTCAAGGTTTGGGACTTACTGAAGTATTTGGATCACATTGAAATAAAGTGGGTCATTTAATGTCACGTAGCAGCATTTCACAGCTCTTAATAAGGTCTTCAAAGCACCGTAAGGCTACAAGCAGAGCCCCAAAAAGGCACAACCACTGTGCCCAAAATGCAGGTGCAAGGAAACTGCTAAATTATTTAAAATGTCAACGGAACAGTCTTGAAAAAAACATGAGATCATATGCCAAACACAGACAAACCGCTGTGTAAAAGAGGAACAACAGCCAGCCTGAAAAAGAAACTTACAGAGCACAAGTATTACCGTGTTATATAAAAATTCTATGCTACTTTTGTCTGTCTCCTTCAGTGTAACCTTTAAATCTCATGTAGCAGCACTCATTTAGCTGTTTAACTGTAATGCAGAGCTTTTCAGCAAATCACAGCTTCTCTGTTCATGCTAGCCTTTCTGCCCTTTCCCCCTTTGGACACTGCTCCTTGTGCTGGCCTGTCACTGATTCCACTTCATTCCCTAAAAATAATAAATGCAACCCCTTGCACTCTCCGTTGGCCCTCATTTTTTATTTTTTATTTTATTTTGCAATGCTTGGCCCCCCTTTTTTCCCTCACTAACAACATCACTCCCAACTCCCTCGTCAACACCCATACCTGACCCAAACACTCACCCTGCTTCCCCCCCTCCAAAACAGCAGCCAGCAGACACTGAACAGGGCCGCCGCACCTCCTTGGAGAAGTTCACCCGCAGTGTGGTAAGTCATGTGGAGCTGGGGGCTGTTCATATCACAAACCACACTGGCTGGCTCACTATCAGTGGCTTGTTTGCAGTTATAACCATGTTACACTCTGTTGTGAATTTTTTTTAGACCTTTAATAGGACGTGTGTGTGTGTGTGTGTGTGTGTCAATAAGTTAACACCCTAGTCACTTTGAATGGTCACAACCTAACACTTTTTGATCAAACCACATTGCTGGTAGAGATTCTTTGTGTTACTTTTGCTGTCGGAACCTCAGACTGGTAACGAGTTTTCGTTTTAATCTACTTTCCAGGGCAAGTCATTGACGGGAAAACGCCTGACAGGCCTGATGCAGTCATCCTGACACAGCCTGTGCTGCAGGGGCACAGCCAGACCCTGTCGGGTGGGTGGCTGCCGCACAGGGGCCGGGGCACGGGCACAGACAGTGGAGCTGGGCTGGACAGGGCTGCTGTGGAGGCTCTCAGACACTGCTCCGAGGACTGCTGCCATATTGGTATTGCAGCACTGGGCTTGCTGGGGTGAACACCCCAAATTGAAACACTGATGATGAGACAATGTCGACAAGGGGAACCTCAGCCAACACACAGCACGGCATGCAGCGTACAGTACAAGCAAATGCAGTGCAGGGCTCTTCATCACTTAGGCGGCAAACTGGTTGTGAGTCTCGATGAAGCTGATCAGTTTATTGTTTTCAGGTTGTTTTATATTAAGCGTTATTAGAAACGAAAAGAACATCTGCTAAATATTCTTTGATAGGACTGCGTGTAACTCGCCACAACGTTTGCAGTGATGACTATCGTCTTATGATTTCGGGATCCAAAAATAGCTGCAGCCAATCCTAACTCGGACATAAATACAAAGTCTAAGAGGCACATCAGCACAGACACAAATCTGTTTGACATTTGCCTCTGTACTCACAAAGCAGCCAGCAATAAATAAAGCCTGTCCAGTTTTTTTTGATTGTTTTGTTTTTAGAAATATCCAACCTCTTTTTATATCTTTCTATTATATTTGTGTCCTAAGCGAAGCACGTGTCAGTTAAACAGCGAGCACAGCTTTAGCACTGTGAAAAGGCGCAGTACAAAGCCTGTATTCTCCACGCTGAGAGGCATCTACAAAATGGATTTTTAGAGGTATAACTTTTCATGCTTCATTACATTCCAAAATTTGACATAAGGGCTTAATGTAGCATTCACACTGCACCGTGGCGTGCTTCATCCAAACGTCTGTGTTGAGAATTAATGTTTCATTTCTACAACACTGCTCTGTAATGAGACGCGTGGCGATGATTAATTTCTTCTGGCTGGCAAATTATTCATTTGCTTTGAGAGGTTCAAAAACGTGGCTGTGCAAACAGTTGTGGTGTGCAGCGCCATTTAGTCACAGCCATACGTACACAGTCACAGGCCAAATAGCATCTCCGGTTTTTTTTAGGCTTCTGCTATAGTATTTAAAGTATCCAGTGCCATGGGTCCATCTAGTGGTGGCTGAACCACAGGACCAGAAACCAGAGTGTTAAAAGACTGAACTGTGCTGTCTTCATATCATGATATCAGAACAAGTTGATCTCCCGTCTTGGAGACGTTACAAGGCCTGCTACTCAATATAGGATCACTTATTGCTTTTTTAAAACTGCATGAATATTTTTTAATCACAAAATGTTACCTGATCATTTAAAAAACAAACATTTTTTTTGTTGTCTCCACGAATTATCTGTCGTGTTTTAATGACTATGGGGGGAAAAAAAGAAATATTTGCATGCTGGACTATTATGGAGTGCTAATTTAGGGAAGGATGGTTGGATTCTCCAAAGAGGGCACACAGACAGGGACCAGCCCTGCACCGGAGCAACACTCCTCAGCGAATCAACATCTAAGCCCCGAACTGCAACTGGGAACAATATTTGACCCTCGATAGACGACGCACACCGAAGATAAAAGGCCTCTCTGCTCCACTGTGGCTTCAGACTCCTTCTACATACAGAAAGTGCTTGGACTGAGGAGATTATGGTCTCACAGCTCCCCCATGAGGCCAGTGACTGCTATAGAGATAAACTACGCTGCTGAATGAGTCAATCATCTATTCTTTTGTATTAGAGTCGTTGCAATGCACTGTACAGGTCATATTAGTAATTATTGTTAACATAAACCAGTAACCTCGTTGAGTATAAGGTAGAGAGATATGCTTAACTCGAGTCGATGTACCAAATGTTATCCTCAGCACAAGACACAATGACACTATGTATCGAGTGCATTGTAAATGTAAATTGGCTAAATTTCATTAACCAAAAGCACACTTTATTATGATATGGGCACATTACTATGCATGTAACATATTCAGGGCATTTTGTGCTTTTAGTTTCGCAATCAGCAAGATAACTACTGGCACTCTGAAACACTCAAGCACCTGCTGTCTATTCATGGGTACCAAATAATAAATACTATGGACCTGTCTGCTTTGTGCTGCTGTCTGGGTGTTTTTACTGCCTTGAGCCATAAAGCATAAAAGATTCTGGCAGAGATTTAGAGAAGCAGTTTTCATGCCGTAGATATGTGGAGTCAAAACGAGCCATACGTTTGTTGTAGTTTTGCCTTTATATACACCAGCGTGGATTTTTAAGTCAAACAGTCAAGATGAGGTTGAAGTGCAGATTTTAAAAGGTGTAACAAAAGTGTTACATTAACTGTTTAGGGATTGTTTTTATACGCACTCCCCATTGCACTGTAGGGGTGTAAGGAAACAAAATCATGAAGAAAAAAAACAAACCATTAGGTCCAAAATGGAAATATGGACCTAATATTATAACATCGATTCATCATCTTGACATCACTGAATTGAATTACTAGCTAAAGGAATCTGAAACAGGCTTTTAAAGAGACACTGCATTGGCATTTTTTAAGCATAACAGTTAGTTTAAGTGGTGTTGTGTAATAATAAAAATAATAATAAACTTTATTTATCCCCTCTGGTCCTAAAATTAGTTCATGGGGCCATTAACAGCTGTTGACTGGAAGATCTCAGACGTGTAGGTTCTAGAAGGTCACACAGGGCTACAATTTTATAATGAATTCTAAGATATACCGGTAGCCAACGTAAAGAGATTAAAACTGGAGTGCTGTTTCTTTCGTGTAGCAGCAGCATTCTGTACCAACTGGAGACGGTCAAGATCCTTCTTATTCAAACACATAAAAAAGGCTGCTACTATAATCAAGACAAGACGAAAAGAGGAATGAATAATCATCTCTAAATCCGCTTTTGACACCAGAGTTCAAAGCTTAGAAACATTTCTCATGTGGGAAAAAAAACAGTTTCTGATTAATCCACAAATGATGCCAAGGTTTCTGAGGTTTGGTTCGACAGAAGAGGGCAATAGACCAAGGTATTGCTTGATTTCAGTTATTTGGTTCTCTCGGGGAATAAATAGGGTTTCTTTTTTATCAGAGTTCACCTACAAGTAGTTTTCAGACAGACTCTGGTTAATACTACTAAAACAGTTTATTACACATCAGAAAATTGCCTGATTATTTGGCCTAGGGGCAAAATAAGAGAATAGGTCCCAAGACTGAGCCCTGTGGTACCCCACACAGCAGGCTCTTGGAGACTGGTTTGCAAAAACATTGAATGTTTTGCCAGAAAGTTAGGAGGTAAACCATTCTAGAGGCCCACCTGATAAACCGACTACATCCCAGAGCCTGTTAATCTAAATACTGTGATCATGTTCGTTATGCTAGAAAAACTGGCAAAACAGAGCACTAAATACTACATCTGGATAGATAACATTCAGTGCAGAAAGTATATGGAGGATCAGCAACAACTGAAAATTATTCATGACTAAAAATCAATGACTGATAGCGATCCATTATGGGTTTTTCTATGTGAGTATGCTGCTACTGGATTGGCAGTGTTTGGGATCATTGTCATGCTGAAAAATGAAGCTGCTGATAACCAGATGGCATTGCATCGTGCCATCTGAACTGTGCTTTCTGTACACACAGAGGAGAAACCTAGCTTGGTTTCAGCACAGTTCAGATGGCATTAGCATGCACGACACAAGAAAGTAGTATGTTTTGGAGCAACGTGCTGCAATCCCAAAATTTTACAGAGTTCTGGCTTAAAAAAAATAAATATTATTGACGTTTCTCGTATTGTGATCTTATTCCTACCTGCTGCCTAAAACGCTGTTTTACTGCCATTTATTGGAATCGTTTATCTCCTCTGTGTACCACAGTTAACATTCAAATGATGTTTTTGCCACCAGTAAACATTCCTGTCAGGAGACGCTGTTACTCATCCCATTTCTTCAGACTCACTTGTTATTTATCAAGCAGCACCTACTGATCAATAAGATCTCTGTGAGCGAGATCTACTTTTGTTATCTTTGTCTTATACAGAGTCCAGCACTGCCTCCTGCTCTCACACACTCAAGAGATGTTTTTCCTCTCGCTCTGTCTGCTCACAGATTCTGAGTCACTCCAGCTTATCGATCCAGTCTAGGAATCCTGTGCTTATCAGAATGACCCATCTCCCTTTTGCAGAAAAACAGCATCAAGCAAAAATATTCCTTTTTTTGTTTATTTTTTTCAGAACAATAAAAATAGTTTAACAAAGACTTCATTCTCTCTTTTTTGACTATTTACAGCAGAAGATGAAAAAAACAAAACAACCAAACAAATTAAAAATAAACAAACAAAACCCCTAAAACGGTCATGTCCATTTCATCTCCTCTTGGCTCTGTTCCCACCCCGATCCTCCCTCTCCACCCTCCTTTGCAGGCTTGACAAGAGAGTACCAGGGCCTATTGCTGTCTTTGACGAGGTATACAGGCTATTCAATGATTGGTGACACGTTAAATTACGGAGGCATCGCTAACTTTTGCACTCGGGAGCTTCTCCTTTTGTTCAGAACTGCACCGCACTTGGCCCGTTCATGTATACGGTAGGTAACACTTAGCAGATTATGAGTGATGACACATGCTTCAACTTACTGGCATGACTGACTTAGGAAGATAAATGACACGATGACCCACTTTTTTTCAGTTTTTCTTTTTTTAACTGTGGAAACAACACGTAACTGAGGAAAACAAGACAACCGACATGTCTCAGATGCATTCCTTGTCCAGTGGAGATAAACTGCTGTGTGTGGAGGGTCCCTGAGGGAAGTGAAGAAAGATGGTTTGAAGCACTTACGCAAGTCATAACAGACACATCTAAGATTAATGGTTAGCTTCAAAAACGGAGCAGCTGTTATTACATTGCAGCGATACTGAATAATCACATGGAAGAAAACAGACCTCTCAGACAGCATGTGCAACCAGCGGACCTAAAAAAGCTTTTGGATACAGTACTTCAAGCTCCTTCTAAATGTCATAAAGCAATTAGGCCCTCTAAAGCACTCAATGGAAATGTCACAAGTAACTTGGATTTACACTTGTCACTTCTAAGTAAATAACTGTATCCCAGCGGAGTAATGTCACTCTAGTAATGATAATTCCAAATGCAAATCCGAGATGAATCTCACTGTGTCACGATCTCTGTAGAGTTTTTGCATGCCATGCGTGACAGCAGGTAGAACGAGCATAGAAGAGACAGAGCTGAAGCTTATTATTGCAATGTTTTCCTATAGCATGAGACTGCAGTATTCCCAGGCCCTACTGGCAGTCGGGATCCACGTGTGTTACTCTGCCAACTGAGAACAATCACATAAAATCAGGGCTGAGTGGCTGAACAATCAACAGCAGATGAAGTGAAAAGATGCCTGAGTAGTTGTGGCTATTATGCACCTGATCAGGACAGAGGTATCAATACAGTCTGAGCAAACGCAAGAAGTCATACCATCAAACTTTAAAACATAGAAATATTATACAACAGAGAAAATATGCAACAAAAAAAAGTGAGCTAAATCATCCATTTGAGATCAGAGAGGCAGAGGAAGAAGGGAGCAAAAACAGGTTGAGGGCCAGAAGCAGAAAACCTGTGTCCACACCGGGGTATTGTTACAGTAGTCCAGAGGTCTGCATGTAATAGTGGTGAGTTTGAGCACCATCTCTATGGCTGCAGGTCAGAGGGTCACTGGTCCAATCAGGTTGGAGGGTCATGGCTGTCAGAGCTGATTTCCAGTGCAGAGCGGCAAGCTGGCACAGTGATGAGGATAATGACGTCTTAGTGTCACATCGGATCACACAGCAGACACACAGTCGCAGAGCAGGAGTGGGCAGGCTGGGCCGCAGGGGCCCCAAATGCACCCGTTGGGCACAAACAGTCCAAAGGCCTGGCCTTTAGTGTTCCCATAGTTCTGAGAGGAGCTCCAGCACAGTGCAGAAAGGATAAAATGAAGCCGGATACTCACATTTCAAATGTTCACAAGGGGTCGATATATACTGTCAAGGGAGCAGTTGCTTCAATTAAGCCACATGGCTGGGAGAAGTGATGGATGCCTATTCATCCGTTTCAGTCAGTTATTTCAGGCCCAAATCAGGAGGGACATGAAGGCTCATTAGTTTTTGAGGGTTAAAATCCTCTTCTTCACTGGTCACCCCCCAGCCCTGGGCCACATGCCAATGTGCTGAGTGCTCCTATGTAACACAGACAATAACAGTAAGCCTCACGCATAATATGTCTGAGCAAGAGTTAAGATCTGCAGCCATGCTAGCAGCTTTTCAAGTTTAAACTAGCTTAGCACAAATACAACAGGAGCAGGGCTGTCAAAACATCAGATTTCTACAAAAAAATTGTCACGGCCATAATAATTGATAGCGGATATCTATAATAAAAAAGAAACATCAAATCTTAGTTATGGAGGTACCCAAATCATAACAACATTTTTTTGCTATACGCTAATAAGGTGAAGTCCACAGAAAACCTTCAAAAATTACAACCCCAATTCTAAAAAGTTGAGACAAAATGTAAATAAAAACAGAATGCAATTATTTGCAAATCTCATAAACCTATATTTTATTTACAATAGAACACACAGAACATGGGACATGTTTCTCTTTCAAGAAAATTATTTGCTCATTTTGAAAAGCAAAAAAGTTGGGATGGAAGCAACAAAAGGCTGCAAAAATAATTGGTACTATAAAGAAACGGCGACCAATTAGATTCAATGGCAACAGGTCAGTAACATGATTGGGCATAAAAAGAGCATGTTAGAGAGGCAGAGTTCCTCAGAAGTAAAGGTGGGAGAAGTTCACCACTCTGCAAAAAATGATCTACAAGTGAAGATAAAGCATTTCATCATCTGTAATATTTAATATTATCAAAACATTCTGATAATCTGTAGATATCCTCCAAGATTTCAGTATTGGATGCCTGTAACCTTCAGGCACTCAGACAGGCATGACTGTCATGGAAATCACTGCACAAGCTCAGAAACACATATAGAACTCAACTGTTTAGTGTTCAGATGAACAGAAATTTGAATTTCATTTTGGAAAACATAGATGCCGCCTCCTCTCTTCTAAAGAGCACGGTGTTCTAAACCCTGCTGCTCTGATGGTATGGGGCCGCATTAGTGCCTATGTAACACATCTGGAAAAACATCAGCTATGACATATAAAAGTTTTAGAGCAACATATACTCCCATTCAAACAACATGTTTTCAGGGAAGAGCTTGCTTTTTTCAGCAAGACAATACTAAGCCATACAGAATCTATTACAACGGCATGGCATGTTAGTCAAAGAGTACAGGTGCTGCCTGCAGCTCTGACCTTTCTGAAAACACGGGTTTATGAGATTTGCAAATCATTTTATTCCATTTTTATTTACATATTTCAGAGTGTCCCAGTTTCTTAGCAATTGTGGTTTTACGATTTCCGATAGTCATCAACATAATTACCCTTTTAAATATCACTGCATGTCAAAGAAACATAAGTGGAATATTTGCGCCATCAGCTCTGGTACAATACGATGGGAATGCCATTTATTTTGCATAAAGCAAGTTTTTGGACAAACTCAAAATATGAGGTAATTAAAACTCTATATTACCAGACAAATTTCCTGGCAGTTCATCAAATATTTCTTCAGATAGTTACTAAACACACAAATGTGAACTCATTGTGCTACTACTACTACTACTCAAGGCACCAACGTTATTAGGATTCAACTTCTAAGCGTCATGAATGGATGCATCAAATGTCACGGCAGTACATCTGTGATTTGTTGGGAGATTTCAGTCTGGACCACAAGTGGTGCTCCACTGTGCCGTGTTGCAAGCATGTCTGAAAACTAGACCAATGTTGGACTACAAAATGCTCGTGCATGACCCTTAATTAGTTTTATTGTCCAGTACAATGTGCAAAATGCAGTTTGTCTAAATCAGATTTAAACTGGTAACAATCACTCGCATACCATCTATTCTTGTCTTGTAATCTACTTGTTCTCTGACAAGGTACCACAAACGCTTACCTTCGATTTGATTTGTCCCCCTTGTGTAAAGACTATAAAGGTTTCTTCATCCAAACATTTCCAGTGGCCTGTGGCACTCCTTTCATTGGTTCCTTCATTTTCATACGTTCAATTCAGAGTTAGAGCAGAAGAAGAGGTCTTCATAGTCACACTGACTACTGATTCAAAAATATCCAGTAGTTCTGCAATGCAAGTATGGGTCTGCAATGACATTCAATCATCTACCAAACTTATCATTCACTTAAAAAACAAAAAGTCTTGTCTGCAATTTTCCAATTTCTCCAGTGTTTTTGTTCATAACCCTTCTGCTCCAGTGAGGGAAGAAAAAACAAAAAAGCCACACTCCAAAAACATCTTCCGTTCTGCACGGAGTCACTTGTCAGGAAAAACTGACAGTCCTTTGTAACCTTAAATGTCATATATATATATATATATATATATATATATATATATATATATATATATATATATATATATATATAAAAGAAGGTGTTCATAAATTAATTAACAATGTTCAGTAGATGAAATACCACTTGCTTGCATTTCTGTCCTGAAATCATCACTTTGTGCTTTCCGCAAACAAAAACAAAAAACATTGAAAAAGAAGCAGCAGATTTTTGCCAGAGGTTAATCCATATTAAAAAAAATGTCTCTTTAAATCTAAAAGATTTTCTTTATCTGTGACGGCCGGGTATCCCATTGCCGTTCGCAGCCGGCTCTTCCAGCTCGTCGTCCTCAAAGCCATGAAAAGTGGAAGTGTCGCTCTCTGAGGTGGTGCCGAAGAGCTCCTCAGCTCCAGTAAAAGTCCCGTCTTCCTTCTCTTCTCCACAGTCAGCTGGAACACCGGACAGGAGAGCAACAGAGTCAAGAAAGAAAATCATATGGCAATCATCACAGCATAATAAATCATGCAAAGATATATGTGAACATACTTGTGCACTGGCAGGCTGAGCAGGGAGACACAGATTTACCCGTTTTCTTGTTTGAGCCCTGGCATTTATTACAGTAACTGTTGGGAATGCTGGTCCCACCTGGACCCTTTGGACCTAAACAGGAATTTCCAGAAAGAAATCAAAGTTTTAATGACAGTTGATTTAACCCAGATTATGTTAGGTACCTATACAACTTATACAAACAGAATATAACTTAAGTGAAAACCAGGTGACATTTGTCCTGAAGAAGCCAGTTTGCAGAAAAAAATGTTCTACAATTTTAATTGCATTAAATAAAATTACATTTAATTTAATTACATTTGTCTACACCTAAAAAAAGGATTAGGATTTTGCATTGGGATAAAAACAAACAAAACAACCCCCCCCAAAAGAAAACAACAACTTTAAAATATAACCAGAACAGGGTTGACAAGAAGCAAAATAATCGGGGTGAATATAACTTAAATATAACTTAAAGTGTTAAAAAAGAGGAACCTAAACAGGAGCCACAGGTGTCACATTTACTTACGTTTGTGTCTGTCAGTCTGTGGTGCACTGGGGGGTTGGGAGGCAACTGTGCTCCTTTCCCCGGCTCTGTCCTCCTCTGCCAGGTGAGAATGGGTGTAGTGGTAACTTAGTCCTGTGCGGTTCCTGTAGCGCTTTGCACAGACTGCAAGAAACACAGGGGAGATGATCAGTCTCACTACTGTGGCTGCGTTTCATTATATAAATATAATTCTGGGAACACAGCATTTCTAAACGTGGAGTTGGGCAGGTGTTTTCCCCCCTGCATCATCTGGCCATTTGTTTTTAGGATTATGGCTGGTTCTCATAGAGACCTTCACAAAGCTTTTGAGTTAAAATTCCACAGAGCATCTGCTTAGATGGTAATAATGTCAAAGAAACATAGCTAGAAAATATTTGTATGTACCCTTTTGTCTTTATAGGCAACAACAAAGTGCAGACTGATAGCATCATTGAGCATAGAAGAAAATGGAAGAAATTCTATCTAATGGAGCTAACTATTCTACTTCTGGCACCAGCACTTTAAGATCTGATTACAACAGTGAGTCAAATAAAACACCAAGCCACACATCATAATAACCGTGGCTCAGATTCAAAGCACCAAGGGCACCTTTCAGCTTGAGAAAAATAACATAATGTAAGGGCTAAATCTATAATGGCAACTCTTGCAACAATACCACTCAACAACCGATCAAAATAAATATCTACAGAACTACAGTCAGAACAACAAATCAACGTACCTGAGGTTGAAGATTTGGAGTTCTGCCTTTGTTTGTATCTGTCTGAAACAGAAAAGACAAAAACACAAGAAGAAAGAGAAAAGATGAGGGTGTGTTTTTCCACACAGAGTCAGCAAATGGAGTCAAATCCAATACCCCTTACTTGGATTTTCCACATGCAACTTGCATGTACAAGAATAGCTAAGACTGCAGTCGCAGTAGTTCACAAAGTTTTATCCTGTTAAGTCCATAATTTGTTTTGCAAAGACACATTTTTTGTAGTTTTGCCTCTGTGCACCATCACCGAGTGGATTTTAAATTAAACAATCAAGATGTTGTTGAAGTGCAAACATTCAGGTTTAAAATAAGCAGGTTTTACAACAATTGTGCATCAACTGTTTAGGAATTACAGCCATTTCAATACATGGTCTCATTGGTAATTGGATAATTGGCTGACAAGTACTTGTCTTGTTATTTTATGACTAATAAGAAAGCAGATATAATCAGGGATGCACATAAGTGGTCCGCATGTGCGCATTCGCTGTCAAAATAAAAGACGCGCACCAGATAAGAAGCTGCAACGCGCGTTTGCGTCCATATAAAAGGCACTGTTTTTGTCCGCTAGAGTGGGATTTTCACGGCACATTCCGCACCACATCTCTGTGCGTTCATCATTTGTTTGAAGCCAGCTCACCTCCTGCAACCACTTTTCCGAGAATACGCGCTTCTTTTGTGGTTCAGACTCCTGACATTTCTTTGGAGGTGGAGGAACACCAAAGTAATTGCTTAAAGGAGCTTCTTCGACATCTTTAAGAGTTCTAAACAAATGTCTGTCCTCCTCCAGAAAATCTTATGGACGCAAACGCGCGTTGCAACTTCCTATCTGGTGCGCGTCTTTTATTTTGACAGCAAATGCGCACCTGCGGACCACTTATGTGCAGCCCTGGATATAATATTGGAAGCTCATTCAAAGTGTTAAATTTCTATTTTTTTTGTTCCACTGTGATTTTAAATGAGATGTTAATGCAAGTGAGTGAGGCAGTCATGAGGCTGAAATACCCCCCCCCAAAAAAAAAAAAAAACATTCAGAGAGATGGGAAAAACTTTCCAAGTGGCCAAATCAACAATCTGGTGCATGATTCAAAACAATGAATGCACTGTACTGGCAGCTCAGCAACACCAAAACCTCTGAAAGAACACAGAAAAGCGCATGATGACAGAATTATTTCCATAGCTCAGAAAACCAGCTTCACATCTAGTCAGGAGGTAAACTAGACACATCGTTATCAAGATCTACGACCATGAAACGCTTTCATGAATCGAAAAATAGCGCAGGCTGCACGCCAGTGGTTACACTCAAGATTACAAAGGTCAGATTAGACTTTGTGAGAGAACATCAAAAAGAGTTTGCACAGTTCTGAAACAAAAAATCTCTACAGATGAAATCAAGGTCAACTTGCACCAGACTGACTGAAACAGAAAGCTATGGAGAACAAGACAAACAACTCATGATCTGAAGCAATCCACATCATCTATCAGTATGGATGGAAATCGAGAACCGGCTCCTAGCAGTCGAATTCCTCGGAATTGTTAGTCTGCCCGCCTATAGATCCCACTTATCAGTTCTTGCACTTCCGCTACAATCTGCTGATGTCAGTTGTCGGAGGAGGTAAATAGTTGAGCAGTTTAAAGAGTGGATATGGACATTACTTTTAATTTTATTGCACTAAAGGACAAGAGTGTAATGGTAAAGAGCAAAGTGCATCCAGGACAGAAGTAACTGTATTAAACTGTTAACACACCTTCGGTCTTAGCAAGCAGCTGTACAGACAGCATGCTAATGCTAAGCTATCCAAAAAACCAGAGTGGTGCTAAAGCCGAGTGAATGACGATCCCAGCCCAGGACTGGAGTCAAGTAATTCGTCATTTGGGAGCAGCGGTGAAGTCAGTCGCCGCTAAACTTCCTCAGGTAACAAAAGGATGAGCCGTCAAACTGCAGCCTCCGTTTCTACCTGTTCATGGGACGTAAAATCACTGTGGCAATTGCTTTGAAGTCTCTTTGTGCTTCATTTTTGCTTTGTGCTGTTTGCTTTCTGTTCATACCTAAATACTAAGAAAGATCATATGTGTGGCCTCATTAGGACAGGGATTTGTTTTTGTGTGTTGGGCTGTAGCCTCAGGTTTATATTGTTTAATGATAATGAACAGACAGTGTGCTTCAGGTCATTTTACAGAGCAACATGAAAGTAATGTTATAAGTAGTATAGTGAATTATTTTCTCCTTAATTAAGTAATGTACTGCATTACTTTTAATAAAAGTGTTCTGTGTAATATGTGAAATAAATTATTCACAACAAAGAGAGGAAATGCATCCAACACGCACAAACAGTTGATCACACGACATGCAATTAATTGGCACGAATGTAATGTCTTTGATATGATGGCAGTAACTCTGAAAGCACAGCTAGTGAGAGCCCAATGAGAATCAATGGGAGAATTGACAAGGATTCGAATCAATAAGTAATATCGATAAAGGAATCGGAATTGCTAAATTCTTATCAATTCCCATCCCTTTCTGTCAGCTGTAGTGGAGATAATGTTATAGTAGGGCATGTAGAGGTGCTGGTAGTATTGGGTCACTGGTGTTAATTGATGATGTGACTGCTGATACACAGACAGGACGAATTGTAAAGTCCACTGTGGTGGTGTACAATAGCAAACCTACAAAATTGTTAAAGTTTAACAAGTCTAGCTATATTGTTGGTAACTGACTTTGAGGGTTGCTGTTGACCATGACAGAATTTTGAAGAGGAAATCTTGATCTGTAGGTGCTCTTAACAGCCTCACAACCAAGGAAAGCCTTTTTCTTATCCTTTCTCACACACAGCAAGACAATCTCTGCATCAGACGTGTTCTCGCTACTGAAAATACCTAGCTTGGTTTAGGTCAGAGCTCGGATAGAGGGTGTAGGAGGCAGGACACATGATGCCCACTCACAGAATTCATCAAACAATTACCTGCTCCTTTTTTCACATGAGCTCATGAGCAAAGTGTGAAAGCGGCTTAAACATTATTCTTCCAATTAGGTCTAAAATATAAACAGACTCTGTAAAAAGCCTGTCCAATTTATTTTATCAGTGAGGAGTGTAAACAGTAGTACTCTAGGAAACTGTTAGTCTCGACTGTACAAGGTTACAACG